AATTTTGGAGATACTTCAAAATAAGAAAAAGTACATAGGAGGATTAATGAAATATACTGTAATATTTTTAGGAGCATAAAGCGAAAAACCACATGAGTTGTTTGGCGCTCTAGACAAACAACAATACTTGTCAGGGCTGGGGGTGTAAGTGGCAGAGTGCTTGCCTAGCATGTGTGAGGCCCTGGGTTTGACCCCCAGCATTGGAAACAAAACCGTACAAAACTTATCAACTTTGGAAGAAAGGACTGTGGTCCAAAGAATCAAATTAAGTTTGGTGTCCAGGGGTACAATATATGAATATAACTTGTTATGCAAATCTGGTTTTACAAACTCGGACTTTTGAAGACTTAACTATATGTTTAAAATTTATCTGTGTCCTGGACTCAAGTATAACACTAAGTATTCTTTTTACATTCATTAATAATGAGTGTAGGTAGTCTTAAATGTTCCTTTCTATAAAAGTAAATCTAAAAGGAAGTACGTAGATATTTTTAGATTAGTATGTAGAGTCGGCATTTCTACAGAGGCTTTTAAGAAAACCTGGGCTGCAAAATTGGTCAAAAAAAATTTAAACAGTAACTGTTCCTTTCAGTAAACCAGCAGGCACCAGCAGTACAGTTATCCCACCTATCCTGTTGTTATTTTGATTTTTAAAATTCTCTTTAAAATAAAAAAAAAAAAATTAAGACAACCTGAGCTGGTTTTAGGCAAGGTTGTTATAAATGCAACTCAATTCAGATGCTTAATTTAAATTGGGGTCACTGCAGAATACTCGTATATTGCTAAATTTGCTGAGAGCTTCCCGTGTGTACATTAAGACTTAATCGCTTGAGATGCATTTGTATTGTGTCCACACCACTCTGGGGTATAGACAGGGATGTAGTGGGTTAGCTCCTTGCCCAAGGCTGCTCAGATAGCGAAGTGCTTGTGGGGCTGGGATTTGTGCTGGGCAGAGCTTTGAGCTGAGGAAGACTGAACTCCTAATCCCTTGACTTTCTTGGACGCTGTTTTGCTCTTTGCAGGAAATGAAAAGATACAGGAAATGCTTTCTGGGCCAGAACTTTGAAGACTCCAAATGTGAAACTGAGCCGGCCTCGGAGGAAGGAGTACTCACAGGGACGGGCAGGGCACAGGCAGCGCTCAGAAGCCCAGCGAAGATGAGACATTTCATTCTGAAGGGAGAGCCTGGAATTGAAGGGTAGGAGGTCACGTCCAGTTCTCTGCTACATCTGAACTTCCATTGTAAGTAGATAGTTGAGGCAGAGACGTTCAGCTAGTGGTCAGGCTGAACGCTGCCTCCAGAGTTGGATTTTGTAAGTCTAGAAGAGCACTTTAAAACACTTCAGACAAAACCTGCATCATTTTATTCATAACCCAGCTCCTCCCTCCGACTCTTCCTTATAACCTCACAGTTCAGCCTGTGTCTCTTTGGCCCCTGATGTTAAGTTTGTCATCTCTATACACAAGTATCAATGTTGCTCAGTGTTTATTGGGATTGATCATCATTGGCTGAAATGAGAGGATCATTTTTATGTAACACACACAAAATCCCCCCGGAGCTTGTACCACCTTGAAACGACATACGCTATGGATGCTGTTGTTGGCAATTCCAGTTTCTCAGGAAGGAGGAAGGAGATCACGTCAGGCATAACAGGTAGAGGATAAGCATAACAGGAGTAAATTCACTACAGCAACTCAGTATGGTCTTTCCTGGCTGGCTGGTTCTGAGACTAAACGTTTTACATTTTAAAAAATCATATTTGATTCAAATTAACTTACCTTGAAAGTGTCAACCCAAATCACTGTACCCTGGAATTTGATGTGGGGAGAAAAACAATTTTACCACATTCTTGTTAAGATGTTTCCAGCATCTGAGGAACATCAGTTTATAGATAAATCCTTCTCCAGCTATCTTGTGTATATTGAAAACTCTGATTTGCTATTTTACTTTACTTGAATTTAGGCAACTCAACCCCTCCCTATTCTTTTTCATGTTTTTCCCAAGTACTGTATTTTTCTTCCTTCATGATTCAGACTCTTAAAGTTCCTTCTTCATTTCCTAAGGGTACCTGGTAGAAATCATTACATTATCTAACACAAGAATATCTCATATTCTTTTACCTACCTAATATAGTAGAATCAGACCACGTTATGTATCTTTAATTACCTTTGCTTCAGACGGCCCTGGGAGCAACACATTCAGGAAGCAGAGCACTCTCCCAGGATCTCTGTGTCCTTCAACTATTTAAGCCATGTCACTGATGCCTTCATGGTCATGGGTGATATGAGTCACATAATTCAAAGCTGAGCTGGACCGATCCTTGAACCTAGCCTTGGTTTCATACTGGGAATTCCAACTTCTGAAGTATTTCAATTTCACAGAGGTAGACTTAAGTTCTGATTACTAAGATAATAACTTCATCTCCTTGGTTGGGGTCAGAGTAGTTCTTTATTCCAACCAACTAATAATTAAAAATTGTAACCACCAAGAATATTGAAGTATGCCCATAATATGTCATCTGGGAGTAAAACAGAAGTTTGAAACTTTCTATTATTAATATTTTCCTTTCAAAATGAAAATTAATTTTAAATAAAAATTTTGTAGTAAGTATTTAGGTGGTGTCCTAACATTAAAATCATTTTTCCTTACTCTGGAACATTTTAAAGTTGTTTGAGGGTCAAATATATTTTAAGTTTAATTAATAACTCCAATTGTAATTTCTAATTATAAAACTTGGTTTCTAAAATTTAATTTCTTTTTTTTTTTTTGGGGGGGGGTCTTTTTGATACAGGGTCTCGCTATGCAGTTCAGGCTGGCCTTGAGCTCATGTTGTAGCCCAGGCTGCTCTCAGACTCACAAAGATCATCTTGCCTCAGCCTCCCGAGTGCTGGGATTACAGGCGTGCGCCACCACACCTGGCCTAAAACTTAATTTCTAAAACTTGGTTTCTAAAACTTAATTTCTAAAACTTGGGTTCTAATTAGTTAAATTCTTTTCCGCAACATGGTATGGATTTTAAATATTTCTAAAACTATTTCTGTAGTTGGAAAACACGACAAATTAATTTTGGTTAATCAAATTGAACTTAATTATTAATGATTTAATGTGGTTAAGAGCAGAAGATTTAATGAACTAAGAAAAAAAATAAAATAATCAATGATGGTTGGATTGAAACTTTCCATTTCAGATAAGAAAATATGTTTTTAAAAGCTTCTGTTTCTGTCAGATGTTCTAAGTGGAATGAAATGGATGAGTTTTTTTTATTGTTTTGCTTCAGAGCTTCTATAGCTAGCATATTACTGTGGCATTGTTTTATACCTCGTAGAAAACTACCTGGTACCATTTGTATTTTTGTGACCTAGCTTTCACCATAAGTTACCAAAGAAGAGTTTGAACCACACAAAGATTTTCTACAACACATTTTTTTTTAAATAGAAAGCTGAGGTCAGGTAACACCTCTTCTGATGGGAGGAAAAGGACTGCTTAACAACTGCAGTTCCTTTATTTATACACTAGGCAGGTTGATGTCACGTGACACCTCTCTGCCTAGCAATCTGTTTGCATGGATTGCCTTGGGCTGTCTCCCAGCTGGAACACCTTGTTCACGTGCCTCACTCTTTGTTCTTGGGAGCAGCCTTGCTCCAGCCCCGCATGTGTGATCTATCTCCAGCTTCAGCTGCTCCCCACATCTCCTCCTTTTCTGTTTTGTAGTTGCAAGTGATGGTTGGTCAGTTGAAGTTGGAGAAGCTGTGCCTGGAGAATACCCTCTCATTCTCCAGTACTTTCCATTCCAAGTGAATTTGTTCATGTAGGCTAAAGAGTCCCAGTCCCAGAATTTCAGGTCCCTGTATCCATCAGTTTAACCCTATACAGCCCATTAACCTATAACAGTAGTCACTTATTGTAGCTGGAAATTGTCAGAAGGCGTTAGTGATTTGAGTTTCTTTTATAGCTAGCATATCACTGTGTCACTGTGTTATAGTAAACAATGCTGGATATTTAAGACCAAGTTAAGGTGAGAGCTGTATTAATTAAAATTAATTTTTTGCTATCGATCAAGATCAGTTAAGTGTTCTCAGGATTTACCTTGGAACCATATATAGCACCTCTTAGTTCTGTCAGTTTCAGCTGTCTGGATGAGTCATGACCATTGCTTGACCAAGTTGCTCTCTGTGGAAGCTTGGGAGACTTTCTCTCCTGGTGACGCTCAGGCACACTGTACATTGTAGATTATGTTCCTCTCTTGTCCCACAATCACCTTGGTCAGAAGACCAGGGATACAACACATTTTTTTTTTTTTTTTTTTTTTTGGTTTTTCTCCGGTACCGGGAACCGAACTCACGACCTTGCGCTTGCCAGGCAGGCGCTTTTGCCGCTGAGCTAAATCCCCAGCCCACAACACATTTTTGACCATCGGTTAGTAGCACTAATGCTTATCTCACCACACTGGCCATCATGACACCTCTGGCTTTACACCTGCCTGTTTCACCTTTACAGTTCTTTTGGAAAGAATGAAGTGTGTAGAAATTTTTTAGAGCTTCTTTCTTCAGAACGAAATTGCAGAACTGCGCAAAAGCTAGAATTAGTTAGATCAAGCCATGGATAATCATCTTCATTTTAAATTGAATTTGGCTACAAAGCACTTGAATTTATTTTTTCCTGTTTAAACTTATGACAGTCAAGATTCATGAACAGCTATTAAGAGCTGTGTCTTATTTTTCTCCAGCTAAACTCACTTTTTTCCCCAAGTAGATAGGTCTAGGAAGCATAATCATAATTGTCTTTTTTTTTTTTTTTTTTTGGTTTTTCTCCGGTACCGGGAACCGAACTCACGACCTTGCGCTTGCCAGGCAGGCGCTTTTGCCGCTGAGCTAAATCCCCAGCCCCCCATAATCATAATTGGATATGAACTGTTAGCCCTGTTTTTATCTTGCATCAAGGATTATTTAAATACATTTGTTTATTTAAATAAATGAATGGAAATAAACTTGGGTAGACATTTGGAGTTTTATGGACTCTTTATTAGGATATTAAGATAGTGAAAATAATACATGCTAACCACAAAAGAGCAATATTAAATTTTCTCAAAGCATGCGTGATGACATGAACTATTATTTTTTCAAGTTTTATAATTAATAATTTCGTACAAGTTGGTACAAAGAGTGAAATTACTATGAGTTAAATTGCTGTTCTTAAACAGTGTACAGTCTTTTGGATATATTGACTTAAAGTTTTATTTCCTAAGCTAATGTTAAATGCCTGGTACCTATATGTTGTTCTCAAGGAGGTCCTCTCATTTTCTTCTTATACATGCAAACATTTTACTATCTATAAGTCTAGCAGTGTCATGGTTGTATATATTTCATACATGGTTAGAACAGAGGAAGATGCTTCAGAGTTTGCGTTCTTTCAATCTTAATTCAAAACAGGAGATTTTCATCTATGTCTTCTGTAAAAAACGAAAACAAAACAAAATGTACTTTTAGAAATAAAAAGAAATAGTAGCATGAACAAACAATGTCAGAACCGGGGGATCAGAGAAGCCTTCTATATGTCAACCCTGGCGGGCATGAGTGATACCCATCTTTGAAAGGTATATATTCTTGGGCTTTATCCCTGGCCTCTGGAAGCAGAATCTCTAGGGTGGACCAATGGCATTTAGATACATAGACATCCCTGCAAGAGCTGCTGGTGCAAGGTTGAGAATCACTGACAGGGCATGAGAAGGCCCAGCCGAATATGCTTATATAAGGGCAGTTACAATACAACAGAAAAAGGTAAAGTATAGTTCTAGTTCAATCAAGCTTCCAATTGTGTGACTTGTAGAAGAACTTACTGCCATCCCGGGGAAGATGACAGCATCCTCTAATGGTCATTAGACCACTCCTTACAGCATGGCTCACCCAGATGTACTTGGATGTGTTTTGTCCATAACTATTAAACAAATACTTATAGCAGATTAATTTGAGGCATACTAAAAAGCTACTCTGTCTAGGTAGTGGGTAATTTTCCTGCCCAATATAATTATCTAGCCAAAACAGTGGGAAGAGTCTAGACTTTGTGATATTTCTCTTGAGTACCGGCTTCATTATGAAAATGGGCATTCACATTTCCTTACTTGTAAATTTTTTGAGAGATATACGGGTTTATTAGGCAAAATTTGAAGTATACACTCAAAGAAAATAGAGGTGGGTCCACAAGAGGGAGGTGCCTTGTTACTTACAAGTTTATATTTGAGCGCTCCTTTTTGGGCTGGTTTGGAGCTGTCCTTTCTGTTCGACCTAAGGCTATTTCCTGTACTGATGCTGACCATCTCTTCTGACCTCAGGATTCTCTTTCTAATTCCCGCCCCCGTATATTCTCCACATTTCCTTTTTGACTAGACCCTTCCTCTTGGCATTTGAGCACTGTAAGTCCGACCTCTAGGACAGCGCCTGTGTAAACAAGCCATCAGTAAAGGGGATGTTGAGTGATGGATGGATGATGGAATGAATGAACTGCTCAGGCCTCTTTTTTCCTAGAAAATGTTTCTGGCAACTGTCGCTCTTTCCTGCCTTCGAGCATTCACTCCTCATCCTTTCTTGTCTCCCATTCTTTCTCAGCCAACAGGATCCGTTTTCCATGTGGCCCACTCCACCAAAACTGCTCTTAGGGGCTGGGGATTTAGCTCAGCGGCAAAAGTGCCTGCCTGGCAAGCGCAAGGTCATGAGTTTGGTTCCCGGTACCGGAGAAAAACCAAAAAAAAAAACCAAAAAACAAAAAACAAAAAACAAAAAACTGCTCTTAGCAAAGCCCCCAGGTCTTTTACTTCCACGTGCAGAGGGCATTCTCACCCTTTCATCCTCCTTGGCGTATCAGCAGCACTAGACACTGTCATCTCTTCTTCCTCTTTGAAATACCCCCTTTGCCATGGGACACTCCTGGTTGTCTCCCTTCGTTCCTGGAGAGACTCCCCATCCCCTTGGTAAACTCCTTCTTCCTCTTGTGTCCACCTAGCAGCTGCTGTTCCTGAGCGTTCAGCTCTAGACGATTTTCACGTAATTTCTCTTTGGGGGAATTCCTGGTGTGCATTACTCTCTGTGTGTTCGCAGTCCCCAGATACGTATTTCAGTTCCAAAACTCTATCTTGAGCTGCAGACCCACGCTCTACTCCCCCTTCCCTCCATCTGTCAGGTGTCCAGTCTCCCCATCCCGCATTCCCCATGGCAACTTCCCTTCCTACTTCTACGTGCCCTACGCTTTCAGTTGCTTGTCTTGGACTATCTTGGAGGTGTTACATCTCTGTCTCCCCCACAGTCACTCTGCTGTCCAAACTGTCTTCAGCTCTTGCCTGGATTTATCACAGTGTCCTCTCAGCTGGTCTCTGGCCTCTCCACAATGGAACCAGAGAAGTCTGCTCTCAGCAAAAACTCCCCCCTGTGCGTGGTAATTCCTTAGCGCTCTTCAGAGAGTGTTTCTGAATGGCTTAGTAGGACCTGCATGATCTGACTTGTTCACCCCAGCAGTCTCAGAAGGTTCTTAAAGATTAACGTGGGTAGATGTCAGTAGACAGTATGTCATAGGTACTAAGTAAATAAGCCCCCAAGCACTCTATCGACTCCCATTATTAAGGTAAAGAAGATGGGACTGCCTGAGGATAAATGGCTAGCCCGCTGCACATAGCTAATGACACAGCTGAAATATCTGAACACTTCCGGTTCAGGACTGGACAGTCAGTACTCAGGAAAATCCTGGCTATCTTCTCTGTGGGTTGCTCGGCCCCGAGGCCGGGAACCTGATGATTTTTAATTTTATTTATTTATTTTTTGCTTTCTCTAGCTGTATCCCTTGCCTACTTATTCTGACTGAATATTTAAAATCTGAGTTATTGTTTATGATGTGATAATTCTTTCCTTCCTTCAGAATAAGCTAATGACAGCCAAACCACAGAGCATAAACAAGATCATTAGCAGCTTTGCAAGGCAGTGGCCTCTAAGCCCTTCTTGCTCTTCCCGGACAGCGCAGAGCTCCGTGAGCTCTCAGGCTGAAGAGCTGCCAGCAGTTTTGCAAAGGAGCAGCCAAGGGCAACTGGTTTCCTTAAATAAGCGGGCTTCATTCAAATTTGCCTTTTTTCAGGCCTTCAAATTTACACATCATGGCGGGCATGGTGGTGCACGCCTATGATCCCCGCACTCAGGAAGCTGAGGCAGGAGGATCACTGAGAGTTTGAGGCTAGCCTGGGCTACATGGTGAGTTTAAGGACAGCCTAAACTACACAGAGAGAAGCTGTCTTAAAAAAACCCAAAAAACAAACAAAACCATACAATAATAAAAAATAACATGTCCTATGAAAGGCAGAAGTGTCTCATCCCAGTTAAGTTCCCCTTTCTGATAATGCTGGGATGGGACAGAATGCGGGGCAGCTGTCTTTGGTACCCTTTGTCTTTTTAATAGGGGAGTTGGGAAAGACAGTTTTAGTCATTTTTAGGAGGTATATTTGAATTTTTATAAGTACTAGACTTATAGAGCAGCTGATAGAAAAGAAATTAACTTTATTTGTATGTGTCTGTACCTGAATAGTTTCTTAATTTCACATCAGGGCTGACAAGATCCTGCCTCCAAGATGATTGTCAACGATCTCCCACATCCAGTGTGACCAACACAGTATGGCAGAATTAATAGTATGGGCTTCAGTCTTTCTCTGTCTGTCTGTCTCTAACCAGAAACATCCAGTGAGCTACTCCCAGATTCCTGACCCTTGAGATTGTGAGGGGAATTTCAAGCTGCTAAATGTGGGGTAATTTGTTATGCAGTATTGGCAGCTAATACACAAAACCAAGTGCTTACAAAGTTGGACACTGTTTGTTACAGCTGTGTTCATGTTACAGAATGTTTTAGAGGAAAATGATTAACCATTTCTGCTGACCTATTTATCAGTAAATATGTCCTTATTCTTTCAGTTCTTTCTCTGATTTCAAGACACTATACACTGCCATGAAGACAGGTATTAAAGTGAAATTCAGTTGGGGAGAGGACACTAACTGGTTGTGGGGTCCCAATGCGATGGGAGGCTGGAGAGAAAAAACAACAAAAAATGGCTTTTGCCCCAGATGGCTCACTTGATTTTTGACAACCCTTAGGCTGTAACTACTTGTTAGATCCTTCTTGCGTATCTCTGTCTTCCTGAGAAACCACTTTGAAGATACCACCATGTATTACAGCAGTCATTGATATTTTCCTACTAATCTCTCCATAACTCTGCAATGTTTGTATTGTTCCTATCCTATTTCATAAATGGATGCATGTCTATTATTATGTGTTTCTTACAACAACCATTGAGAAAAGTATTCAATAGGTCACTCATGTATAGCTCTATTTATTTTCTTTAGCAGCCACTTTGAAGATACCAAAGTATAGTACAACAACTATTGATAATCTCCTACCTCTTTTGTCTGTAACTCACTATTGTCTATTTGTTTTCCTGAGAAACTATCTTGTAGATAACAATATGTAAAACAATAACCATTAATAATTTCCTACCACTTTGTCTATAATTTGGTAAGCCCCCCCATTATTATGTTATCCTTTTTTTACTCTTTTAAAAAAAAAAGTGAAATTCACCTCTTTTTGGAAAATTCTGACCTGTGGTTAACTTTCTTTACTTTCCTGGTTAGCTAGGGATAGACGTAAAACCTCTGTTTTAGCGTTTTGACGTTCACTGTTATTTACATTCTGTGAACAGTTTGAAAGCTTGTTTTCAGACAGATTTCATAACTTGATTATTGAAAACATACTTTCTCATAAAATTCAGTATAACCGATGTCTGAATTTAAATTCCTCCATTACCCCAGCCTACCCTAGTTACTGAAGTTGCAGCCATAGGTCTATTTTGGATTAAGGATTAGTATCTGGGTACAACATGTGGGGTAAGGTCCCATCTTTAGTGGGTCAGTAATGACTTCTATGGTGCTTCTGACATCTCCCACTGTTAGAAGCAGGCCTGCTGTTTGACTTTTCATGTGTGATTGTTAAATTTTGACTAATACTTGGGTTCAAGAGGGATATACAGTAAGAAAGAGGACAAAGCTTTCTGAGATTTGGCACAGATCTCTGGACTTGCATTGCTTTCTTACACTTAGCTGGCTGCTGAGCCTCTGTGCATGTTCCCCTTGCTGCCCTCCAAAGGCAGAGTGACCTTGCAGTGACAGCCTGTGCACAAGGCAGGCCTGCTGGGGACACTGCACCTCAAGTGCCTCTAGGTCTCTACTAGAACACAGCGGGACTGCGCTGTTAGACCTGCAGGGCTCGGGGTTTATTCGAGGAAGAAAACACTGCTGTCCTTTGGCCAGTGATGAATTTACCTTCTTTAATTCCAAAGCAGTGGCCCCACTCCTTCAAGGTGATGTGCTTGTCCTTGTTGGGGTCACACTCTTCAAAGAAGCGGGTGATGCAGTGCTCCATGGGCACCAGAGAAGCACGCAGAGGAGCAAGCTCAGAATGTGTCAAGACCCTGTGGTGAAGTACACGTCAGCCTGTTAGTTACCAGAGCAGCTTGTGTATGAAGTGTTGTGTCTTAGGATCACCAGGAACAGGTCCCTTCCTCCCCAAAGATGCGGTGTATGCCAGATACATAACACACACAGTAAAAACTGTAAGTGAAATAGTTTGTGGGTAAGAATAATAGGCTTTGGGATGTCAGTTCCCCAGGTTTCTGTCTCCACTGGAAACTGTGCCCCCTCTACCCTAAATCTGTAGGTGTACATCACTGCACAGCAATGATGCTTGTGCAACCTGGTCCTTACCCACTGGTGACACTTGACTATTCCTGATGTAGGTGGCCGACCCACAGTTGGCCATCAGCGTATCTTAGAAATTTAGGATTTAGAACAAGGAAGGTGAAAGAGTCTCTGTGGGAAGCTGGACCTTAATATGCAGTGTAGCCACATTTTGTTATTTTCAAAATTTTGTGTTTAGACTCCTAGCCATGCTTGTTTGGCATTTCATTGCTCTGCATTGGGAACTGGGAATCTTCCTCATTTTATGCCCATTTCTCCTCTGCATAGTATTATATCAAAGAGTGACCCGGTGATGGGGAGGCAGAGTTTTTACCTGTCCATAGGATGCCGGTCCAGCTCATTAAACTGCCAGTGCACGGGATATACATACATATGGTAGTTTTTCTTAAAGTCCCTTAAGAGAAGTTCAATGGGGTGGTCCCCAGCCAAGAGTCTCTTCTCATCCAGGTAGATCTTCTTGACCTGGGATTAAAGAAGGGAGAAAGATGGTCAGAACCTCAGACAAGGGTGATGGAATTGGCTCTTGTTAAGCTATGCTTGAAGGATAACAGAAACATGACAGAGGAAAACCTGTCCAGGGCATCCTGTGCAACCCAGCTGGGTATTTTCTAAGCAACACTACAGTCTTTCTTTGTAGAACAGATCTGGTGTAAGAAACTTGTGGCTTTCCGAAGAATTCAAGGCTTTTTTGATCTTTTCTTTTAACCAAGTAAACTCATTGCATTTTCTAAAATTTGAGAAGGTTATAGTGGAAAGAGAGGAACTGACTTAGGCAACAGTCTTGATTAGTGAAAAATCCTGCTCCTTCCCCAGGTGGTGCCCTCCATCCTCAATCCTCTATTTTGGATTAAGGATTAGTATCTGGGTACAACATGTGGGGTAAGGTCCCATCTTTAGTGGGTCAGTAATGACTTCTAACCGGTGTCCAGTCTCCGTGTAGCTTGGTCTACCATGGGTTGACCACCCCACTGAAATTTCTCCGTTGTGAACTTTTGCTCTCAAGACTGTCTGTGATAATGTATTAAAGAGGGAGGACAGAGATTACCCATGATCAATGCACATGGAACTCTTCCCTTGGGTCATTACCTATTTACTGAGCAACTGGAAGCAATCACAGAACTTCCACCCTGTCCCATCTACCCATCTACTGCCTTCCCTCCCTAACCAGCAAGGAGCTTCCTGTGCTCCTAATGTAAGCCTCACCCTGCACTTCTTAACCTTAATATATTGTGGACATTATGAGTAACAGGTTTCGCTTGTATCACGCATATAAATCTTGTCTGTGAGGGCAAAGTATCTCAGGTTTAAAGCGTGTTTGGATGTGAGAATCCCCAAGGGCCCTGTGTTGAAGGCCAGGCTCTTGGCCTGGGGCTCACTCCTGGGATGGTGTGGGAGGTGTACAAGCCCAGTGGGAAATCCTCCAGTCTCATGGGGTGAGCCCCTTAAAGGGCATTGGGATACAGCCTCTTCCCTTTCTTCCTTCCTTCCTCCCTCACCATGAGGCAAACAGCTCACTCCTCCACAGCAGCCTGCCCTGACTGCTGCCTCAGCACAGTGTAAAATAGTGGAAGCAATGGATCAGCGACAGAATCATGAAAACTGTGAACCAAAACAAACCTTTCCTCTTTTTAAGTGCAATCCTCTCAGGTATTAGTTACAGTAACAGAAAGCTGGCTAACACAGGACCTGACTACACAGATTCTTAATTTATATGAATTTGGCTCAACCACAGCTTTCTCTGGGTGTGATTTAAGGAGCCCTTATTCTGGCCACTACCCTTTGGGTAGGAATGGGACAGTTAGTGTCCCAAGTCTTGTGGCATGAAGGGTGACTGCTGCAAGAGTGTTAAACCCTGTGCGGAGGCCGAGTAGGCTTCTGTCACCATCCGGAGGTAGGTGGCCCTACCACACTGTTTCTTCAGGCCCCATAGCCAGACACATTGGCTATGAATAACTTACCTTATTTCTCTGCTTTTCATTTAGATACCCAGCGTGTTTAGGATTAGGTTCATAAAGCTGCATAAGAATATTCTTGAGCCAGTCTCTCATCCGTAAAGGAAACTGAGCCACTTCAAAGTCAGTACACACAGGAATAGCTGTTAGGAGCAAAAAATACATTGTGATCTTTGGGCCTTGCTTCTGCCCTATGGCAAGTCCTCATAACTGGAAGCTCAGCAACTTCTGGAAACTGATGGTGCTTCCTCTCTGCCTCATTATTACAACAGTGGGTCTTGGCACTGTGGCACAACAGAATTGCCTGGATGTTTAAAAACATCAAATACCAGATGCCACTTAAAGAAATTCTGATTTGATTTGTCTAGGGTTGAGGCTGGACCTCCGAATGTCACAAAAGCTCCAAAAATATTTGTTTTGTGCATAGCTAGGACTGAGAACTGGTGCTTGAAAACAGAGATCTGGGACTTAGAAGAGCAAGGCATGAGAGCTATGTATGAGAGGAAGAGGAAAAAGTAGGTAGCAACACTACAGTGACAAAAAATGCTAAATCTCAGTGGCGTAAAAAAACAGAAGCTCATCTTGCCATCCTGCTACAAGTCCACTCAAGACAAGGCTTTGAGGTTGGTGGTGGTGGAGGCGGCCATGTGGAACCACACACCAGCTCTCAAGTGCTTCTACGAAGGACACTCAGGGACGAGTCTGCTCATTCACTGCATGGAGCAGGCCATAGCCCCACACCTAACATCAAGGGGATGGCGGTGAGTTTAATCCTCTCGGGAGCCTGGAAGGGGACGAGAACCAAGGTGTGGGTAGAGGGTTTCCTGTTACTGAGAGGAGTCAAACACGATTGAGAGTGTCCTGGGGAAGGACAACTACTTTACTGTCATAAAATTCTAGGCAAAGACTTAAACTGGGAGGAGGGCAAATAATTTAGCAAATTCCAGTAATTCACCTCTATTGTTAAATGGCTAACATTATCCTAGTGGTTCTGAGCCCTGGCTGCACGTTAGGATTGTTGTCTAGGTTACTTGATGAACGAATGAAAAACAGTGTCAGGGTTCCAGCCCAGTCCAATTAAATGATAGTCTCCTATGGTTAAGGCCTGGGGAAGTTTTATTTTTTAAGTCTCCTTGGTTGACTTGGGTGTTCACCCTGAGCTCATAACTCCATGAGCCTTATTTGCATACATGGATGATTTCAGCCACGTACAGATTCACCCCAAACCCTCCCAGAAATGGTGGTGGTGGTCACGAAGGAGTCTTACATTTGCAGGCCCCAAAATAATCCAGCTGCAGTTGGTGTCCCTTTTTGGTCCCCTCCAGTCTGCACTTAGTAGCAAACAGGTGACAGGAGCTCGCATAGGTCTGGTTGTCAGTGCCACAAGCCTGCGAAAGACAAGCGAGAGCAAAAGCATGTGCTCGTTGGAAAACACTGCTCCTGAGAGCTCAGAGGGTGTCTCATAAATGGCTCCGTGCCGAAGATGTGGTCAGGTTGGTGATTAAAACTGCACTTCGCCACGCTAGCTTAAATATCACATGGTTTCTCTTACACGAGAGTCCCAAATATAAATAAAGAGCAAAACAAAAGATGGATAATAAGGAGTAGGGAGATACATCTTTCTCCCTCCTAGAAGAGATAGAGGAGCAAGGGGACCCAAAAACAATTACTATGTGTTACGTACATGTACAAATTCCCGCAATAAATGTAATCATTATGTCCCACAAACATGTCAAAAATAAAAATTAAGAAAAAACAAAAACCCCCAGAAAAATCAATTGCAGTACAAAAAAAAGTTGTATTGTGTGCATATACCAGTTCTACACAAGGAATGTGAACATATACTGCAAAAGTGTACTAATTTAAAAAATGACACCAAAAAATTGCACTTCTCCGATATGGTTCAAAAAATACTAACTCAACTAAATCATATCACTGATGGTGACAATTTAGCTCATCACTGATGGTGACAGTTTAGCTCCGGAGAAGCTCAGTAAGGTGAATGTTGCAGATGTTCCAGGGATAAAAGAGTTTTAAAATGTGTTTGAAATCACTATTACCCTTTTTATGGAACAGCTGACATGCTTTAATTTGGCTGGTGTTTATTCTTGTTCTGTATCACTCCAAATATCAGACGACAACCTGTGCATCTACTTTGAACCAGGAAAGAATTCACTTGCCAACTCTGTATTTAGGTAGCTGCGGAGGCGCAGCTGCAGGGCTGCTGGGGGGGCACTCACTCGGTCAAGGGGTTTTGCTGGAGGACAAGTCGCCGGATCTTGGCAGACACACCGGGGTTTTCCCTGCGGCTCAGCCTTGCAGACGTGCCCTCTTTTACACTGGAAGTTCACACAGGAATCTAACCGGAAAGTGTGGAAAGGGACACGGACAAAGAGGAATGCAAACCAGACAATTAGGTTCATTTCATGAAGAGGGCAGAGAATTTAAAACCCTTGAAATCAGTAAATTTGCCAATGGGGAAATACGAGAAACTGCTTTAATTGATGTGTTAATTTCCAGATGGAATCTTCTGCCATCAGACTTTAACACGGTAGTTTAGATTTCTTCTTGCGGTGGTTGAGATTGGAGACGTAAGAACAAACAGCTTTTGTTGGCCTGCCTGGGGTTGCACAGTGTGAGGTGTGCTGGGCAGATTACTCAAAAGTAAAATAAGCCAGGAGAATATTATTGTATTGAAATGAAAAATGTTTGTGAATGGGTTAGGAGTTCAGCCCTTCATTAAGTAAGAGATCTAAGCTCAGTAGTAGGTTATGGATCTGAGAATCAACGAATAAGGGTGAATTAATTCACAGAAGCCAATTAGCTTTGCGGTGTGATATCTCAATGGGACTTCTGGCTTGTCAACACACTAACCCAGAGTTTATCAAACAAGCACAGGAACATAACCACTATGGGAACCTGTTCTCTGGAGGACTGTGGAGAGGGAAGGGAGAGGAAAAACTGGAATTTGCCAAAGGGGGAGAGTCAAAGTGGGAGGTTCTGTCTCCCCCGGACATGGTCACGGAGGGCGGGCTGCCCGTGTATTCACCAGTGCTGTGCACCCGCACGTGGCCTTCGCTCGCGGTCTCTTCTTCATTCGATGAGCTCTGTGCTTTCTTGGCCTTTAAAATAACGAGAGCAGAAGTTAAGCCCAGTTGGAGGAGAGCTGTTAATTAGTTTTCACATTATAAATTATAATTTATATCTCCCTTGAAGTACTTCTCATGCCCAAGCCATGTCAGGTTTGAGAAGGGGACCAGCAGCAGCGGCAGAGGTGGATGGTAACCTTCGGCAAGCAGGACCTCGTCTGTCTCCACCCGCTGCATTCAGAACTGTGTCCCAGTGGACCCCTGCACACGAGTTAGAATTTCCCTTTTGGAGTTGGAAACACTAGTAATGCAGAATTTAGTACAGTGCCATTCTGTAACTAAGCCAGGGTTACGTCAGAGATCTCTATGTAGTTGTTGATAAGCTTTCTGAGCAGATTTTTCAAGTGTAAGAAAACTCCCACTTTAGAATGGCAGCCCAGTTCTCAGCAGTCGAGACTGCTACTGACCTTGCTCCCCCTAGCTGGATCAGTTCTCCCAGTAGGGGGCTGTAGGAGCTGTGCGTGAAAGCTCTGAATGATTAAACAGCCAATAACGTACTTCCCCCTTGCTCCCTGTCTGATTTCCGGATATTTTGGTGTGTATTTGCTTAACAAAGCGGTGCTGCAGTTTTCATAGCTAACTCATCAGACATCTCCTCTCACTATGTCAGAGGCGTCCTGCTGGACCCTGAGGATTTAACTGGAAGGTAACTGACATCTGCTTTCAACACATTGGAGCTGCAGCTGTTTTGGGTGTGTTAGAACTTATTCCTGCTACTGCCAGGGACTTTCACCTCCTCTATCGATATTTCTGGGCCCAGAAGACCATGCAAAGCTACTTACGTGGTCTGCTCACGGGATAGAAAAATTGAAATTTGAAATGCTCCAAACTTTTTGAGCACTGACAAAGCAGCCAGAGTGGAAACTTCCATACCCGACTTTGTGTAATATGTTACAGTCAAAAGGCAGGCATAATAAAAATAGTGTATAAAATTATCTTTAGGCTATGTGCATAGAGCATTGTGAAACATAAATGAATTTTTTTTTTTTTTTTTTTTTTTTTTTTTTTGGTTTTTCTCCGGTACCGGGAACCGAACTCACGACCTTGCGCTTGCCAGGCAGGCGCTTTTGCCGCTGAGCTAAATCCCCAGCCCCCATAAATGAATTTTATATTTAGATATTAATTCCTTCTCCAAGATATTTCATTATCTCCTCCATGTTCTGATTTTTGTGAAAAAAAAAAAAAAAAAAATAGGAAATCTGGGCCCTTTCTGGTTCCAGTCATTTCAGATAAGAATTACTTAACCTGTGTTATATTTCAGTGATTTACTGGTAGAAATACTACAGGAGACTGTGAGAGCGGAGAGAAAGGCCTGGCTGTTTCTTGGTAACCAATGTAATTGGATGAGCATCATTGTAAATAATTTTACCTCTTGGTGGTCTCCAGACTCATGGGCGTCTCCATTCTCATTCTTATGTGTTCTTTCTCTCTCCTCCTCATATTTGAGGTGATAGGACATGGACTGGGCCTTTTCAGCCTCTATAAAGTCCTGGCTTGGGGTAAGATAGTCATCACTTGCACTGTGCTTCGGGTCATCATTAGCCGCATCAGCATCAGCGCCAGGATTTCTGGGTGTGACGTGACTATAGTCAGTAGGATCTAGGAACAGAGCCTCAGAAACAGTCTTTTTATCTGTTTCCGTGTGGTTACCCATAGCCTCAAGGCCCGTTTTTCCTTCTTGGCTCTGCCATTCAGTGTCTTGAGTGTGTTCATCGATGTCTGAGGCACTGTCCTCTTCTATTTCTGCATTAGAATTGTCTTCTGTTTCTTCCTGGGCACCTTGCTTAAGCTCCTCCTCCTGCGTCTTGCTTACTTGAGTTGGTTGATTGGTCTCTTCCAAGGTGTCATCAGATTGCTCATTGTCTTCTTCTTGCCTGCTGTTAGAATTCCCCTCAGGAAATTCTTTCTCCCTGTCTGGGTTATCCGTGGGGGTGCCAACTTCCCCTGGCTCTGTTTCCTCTTCCTCTTCTCCATTGAGAATGTTTGGATCCTGCTCTTGGCTTTCTTCTTCCCTTAGGTCTTGGCTGTCTGTACTGTTCTTGTTCAGAAGATGTGAATCATTTCCTGGCTGTTCTTGGTTTTCTTCTCCCTTTGTGACGTTCTCTTGTCGGTCGGAATCCACAAAGGAACTACCATTGGAGGCAGGGAAATCAATATTCTCTGGGAGTTTTTCCTTTGGAGGCTCGCCTGTATCTTCTTTTGGCTCTAAGTTACCTTCAGTTGGCGAATACTCTAAATTCACACTTAAGCCGTCATCGCTGTCCTGATCTTCCAACCCCAGCTCGGGGCTCTGAGTCTTGTCCGGTTCTGCAGCCTGTTCATGGGTTCCCTCTTCTGATCTTAATGTTGAAGATTGTTCAGCCTTAAAGGAAAAAAAGCTTATTTACTCAGCAAATGAGAATGCAGTCACATTTACATTTCCTAAGGTAGCATTAATAGTTATTCTTCCTTTTTCCACATATTATCAGGCAGATGTATCTATGATGTTCATCACATCTTGTAGACCTAGGTTCACTGGGAATTGGAATTGTAAAATAAAAAGTAGGTAGCACCTTAGCCTGAGGAGTAAAACCCCTTCATCCTCATGACTTCTAATAATTACAAGCAGTTAAATAAATTAAGTGGAGACTTGAATAAGGTAATCATTTTGACCTTGCTTTAATATTAAGTCCTTATGAGAACTAAAACTAGTATATTAATGTGATGATGTTACTTTTACCTTGTGGTTGGGGTCGTTTTCTGTGGATACTGAGGTTTCCTTTTTATTGTCTGCAGCTTCCAGCCTTACAATAGGGATTTCCTTATTGGTGGGCAGTACCAAGGTCTCAGCAGTTGGTTTGGAATGGTCAGATAAAAATCTTGCATTTGTCTGAAAAGATTAAAATCTTGTTTGCCTTATTCATATCTAGCTGCCAATTTAAAAGCTGGTACTTTTTCTTTTGTTATCATTATCATTAGTAGCTCTATGCTTCATTCATATCATCAGTTAAAACATTTTCTCTAGAACTTTTGAGGATTCAAGTGAAGGCCCAGAATATAATATTAAGTGAAAGAATTCTAGTTGTGTTCAAGAAAAAGTTATACAGTATATATGCAAAGATTGGGTGAAAATCAAACAACAACAACAATAAGAAAAAGAGTTCAATAATGATTGCCTTTGAATTTTGGAATTATTTTCCATTCTTTAAACTTTTATAGAGCATTAATACTGTATAATTTTGAAAAATGTTAGTTATTGTAAATTTGTTTTTTGTTTTGTTTTGTTTTGTTTTTCCGGTACTGGGAACTGAACTCACGACCTTGCGCTTGCCAGACAGGCACTGTGCCACTGAGCTAAATCCCCAGTCCTAATTATTGTAAATTTGAAGTCAAATAAAATTAACCATAGGATATAGCACTGTTAAGTTTCCTTAATACTTATATACTTGTTGATAATTAGCAGAAAAGGTTATAAAAATAGTTTCTAAATATTTATTTAGTTCTTAATAGATAGGTCTTAACATTCACCGGCCATCATTTAATAAAAAAGCATTTTAATCTAGAACTAATTCAAAAATCATGTGAAGGCAGGCACCAGGCCTGGTGGGTAAAGGTGACGAGGGAGGGTTGTCCCGGTGGGAGGGATGGCTGTGCCTCTTTCTAGGGAGGGGGATGTGGAAGAAGAGAGAAGAGCTGGACAGTGGTGCATGACGGGCAGGTTGAACAACAAGACTTCAAGGTGACTTCAGTTCTTGATTCTGCTATGTACTTTCTATGTGTGGTTTGATAAGTTGTTGATTTCTATAGTATGATCTCTCAAGGTGAAGTGAGCAGAAATACCAAGATAAATTCATGTACATAGATATATTTTAAATTTTAAAGTGTTACTCAAGTTAAAATTATTATTCCTAATGGTAATATCCTATGGGGGTAAGAATATGACCTGCCGGTTATGAGCAGGTATTTGCCATAGGTTTTTCTCATGGAGATGCTGCGAGTATCACACAGCAGGCACACCCAGATGTAAGTACAAAGCTCGGACTCTGGATAGACTCATTTTTACTCCATTAGCAAGTCCTCTAGGACTGACTGTGTGCTATAAAGGCAAGCCATGGGGTATAGATCTATCTTAGATGTGTTTTCTTCTTTTGCTTCTTATCCCCCTTTCAACTAGAGGGGTTAATATTCTTGGACTAAGTTTCCAAAGAAGCCATAAAGAAAGGGGAAAAGGGAAAGAAGGGCATCTGTTTTGGTGCATCGCAACGGACAGCGATGGATGGGGGAAATATTAGACTCCTCGGTGGAAGACCTCTCTCCCCCTCTACTTCCTTCCTCTTTCCCTCTGTCGTTCCCTCCCGACAGCAGGAAGAAATGCATAAAATCCATGGCTGTATTAATTTAACATGGCCCCTGGCAATCCATTTGGACTTTTCCAACCCCACAGAATCCAAACAGGTGAGAAAAATGATAGCGAGGTTTAATTAGATCAGTCATCTGAGCAGATCCAGTATTCCACTTTTGGCTGGTCTGCTTATACCACATTGCACTAGGAAAGAAACATCTGGAATGTGTCTATAGGCAAGCCTGGCATCCAATAAACATTTGGTTCAAAGATGCTTTTGATGCTTATTTACAAAGCCCAAACATTCCAAAGGCAAAACAGATTTTCAGGAGAGAACAATGGTTTGATGGGTGGGAACCCTTTTCTGTGATAATTTGTTCCAACTTTGTAATTTCCGAGTACAATGTGTAATTGCAGCTGGTCTAGCTCCATACTCCTTAAGCATGATTCTTAGCTGTGGTCATAAATTCTGTTTTTTAAGAACTACTAGGGATGGGTGGCATGGACTTTGTTCTGCTGACACAGACGTCAACCGTTATTCAAAAAGCAAGAAAAGAATTGTAGCCCTAGAGAGGAAGGGTGGCAAGAGACAACAGAAAAAGGGCTTTGTCTACTTAAAAGAGGTTGTTTCTTCCTTTTGACAAAAAAGAAAAAAGGGATAAATCCTTTAACTGAAGATGATGTGGATCTTTTGTGGAACATCTAAAATGATCATCCAAACTGCAGTTCTACTTTTTGTGCTGCTTTAGGTAGCTGACACGGTCTTCAAGGATCTGGTTTGTGTGTGGCCGCTTTATTGCGTGTGAATGGTGAGACCAGTCCTTCTGGCCCTGGGGTGATGAATGCTCTAGTCCTATCTCCTTACTTGGACAGCCTCAAAAAGATGAGGCAATTTGTGATAGCCATAGCATTTTTGGTTCCCAACCCTTTGGTTCTTGTTATGGTTTGTGTCTGGATGTTTCCCCAAAGCCTCATGCAGTCATGGGGTGGGCTTCTAGAGCATTTGATTGATTCATGGTCCAATGCTGGGATTATGGGTGTGAGTGCTACACCCGCTCTAGGGTGGGTAGCCTGCATACAGTATAAGGTAGGGAAAGAGGCTTGCTCTCTGCTCCTTCCTTTTTGCTCTTTCTGCTTTTGCTGTTTTCTGCTGCCATGAACTGTTGCCCTTTGTCATGTGCCACCCTGCCTTGGAGCCAGCCAAGTATGAACTGAAACCACAAACTGTGAGCTAAATAAACCTTTCCTTCCTTAATTCTGGCATCAGGTATTTTGTCTCAGCAATGAGAGAAAAGAAACCAAGACAATTCCCTTATAGATTTAGAATTTCTCAGTCAGTATGTGTTTGATCCGGAAGAAAATGTTGGTGAGTTACATAAGCATTCCAAGTTAAATTCTTCTTTGTCTCATAGCAATGTGAAAAGATCTATAGGAGGATTTATTTCTTCCTACCCTTTTGGTATGTGGTCATATTCTGTAGTAAATAAACTGATAATCAACACCTTTAACTGCATATTCATGATATCTTATAGAACCAGATAGTTCCGAGAAATATTTTTTAAACATGCCTTATCTTGATTTTTTAAAGTCATGCATTCACTTTTGGGCAATAGAGATTATAGTTTAAGCAAACAAGAGATTTCAAGCCAGTGCTTAAGAAAATATTCTTTTAGGTGTAGGGTTTTAGAGACCAGCTGAATGTCAGGAGACAGATAACAACAGAAGAAAGGAAGTTTACCGGGATAGCAGCTGCAGGTCCCAAGAGACATAGCAAAAAAAGTACGGTCTGCATGGTTTCTAGACCTGTGAACCAAGAAGATAATTTCAGTGATGGCTGGATGTTTCCTTAAAGGAGATAAACACAATATTAGCAAATAGTGAGTCTGATATTGTCTTTTAGGTTATTATTGTCTTTACAGACTAACAGATCTGAAAAGACAGATTAACAATAATTATTACCTAAATTTTTTCTCTGTGAAAGTTGCTTCTTGTTTCTTTGGCCTTTACAATAAAATAAACATGAAACTGTCAGTACTACCACCACGTGGCAAGAGACCCTGGGCAGACCACTTACACTTTCTCAGAAATGTTTTTCTCATGGGAGGGACCGTGAAAAGGGCCACCTAGGGGATCCTCTTGCTCTAACATTTTAGGATTTTAAAACTTAAAACAATTTTATGAATTTTAGGAGCCTCTAAGTGCTGTTATCTTTTCCTCTTAACTTACCAGACCCTCTAAAATATGTTCCACAATTCTGTCAAAATAAAATCTTTCATACAAAGAACTTAAAGTTAAGAGTACAATATATATGCTTTCTATCTATTATTGAGAATCATTTAACATTTTTTTCCTCTATATTCCAAAATTTAACATTTATTCATTTACTGATTGATTCATTCCTCAAGTATCTATTAATATATAGAACTATAGTTACTTATATTTTAGGTCAATATTATACTATTTTATTGTTTTTGAAAACTACAGAAGTACAAAATAGTATAGTATGGTATAGTACAGCACTATTCACATTTGAGACTGGATTATTCTTTGGAGGGGGCTTTCTTGTGCATTGTCCTGGCCTCTGCCCACTAGATGTCACTAGCCTGCTCCTATTCCCTGCTAGTTATGACCACCAAAAATGTCTCCAGACACTGCCAAGTGTCCCCTGGGGAGCAACATTGAGAACGACTGGTTTAGTGCAAGGAGAAGGGTGTTTTCATGTTAGAAAGACAAGTATTTGAACTCTGGACCAACATTAGTAATTTGTGCTATCTTTTGGCAAGTTATGTAGCCCTCTGAACCTCAGATCCCCCACCTAAGAATGGGGATAACATCTATATGACAGTTAATTGTATGTGTCAGCCTGAGTGGGCCATCAGATACCCAGATATTTGGTTAAACACTGTTTCTGGATGCCTCTGTGAGATGTTTCTGGAAGAGATCGGCATTTGAATCCATAGACTGAACAAACCAGATGTTCCTACCCAGTGTGAGTGGGCATCATTCACTTTTGGGGCCCCTTTGTTGAGGGCCCAAATAGTACAGAAACCAGAGGAGAGGAGGACTCTGTTTGTCTCTCTGCTTGGGTGGGACATTGGTCTTCTGCTGCTCTGAAGCTGGGGCTTATGCCTCTTCTTAGGCCTCTGGACTTGGACTAGAACTCAGACCCTCAGTTCTGCTGGCTCTAAGCCTTCATGTTCAGACAGTCTCATTGGTCTCCACTTCACAATTCTCAGCCTTTGTAACCACAGGAGCCAAGTTCGTACAACAAATCTCTCTCTTTCTCAGCTCCATTTTTCTGAATAGCCCCACTATTGTGTCTAATGCAGTTTCATAAAGTTTAGAAGGGGTATTAGTAAAAATGCCTCATATGTAGGAGTTGTTCAATAAATTTTAATTCTCTTAGTTTCCAGAGAAGTTGTTATGATTCTTAAATTAACAATGTAGAGTCTAAGGAAATAATATAAAATTTGCTAAGAGGAGAAAACATTCCCCATGGCACCTTTAAAGTCCATTTGGCCACACATTTACCAAATTTCCCTTTAACCCTAGGATCCTTTCTTACATTAAACACAAACAACAATGGAATTAGGACAAGAGAATATTACTATATTTTTTGTAGCAAAAATAGTGAAAGGTGTTGTGCGTAGAGGTGGGTTTTTTTTTGAGTTTGATTTTTGCAGTGATATTGGTAGCTAATTAAATTTGTGGAGATATTTCCCCTTTACTTTGACTACAGGATCTTACAAATTTCTTCCCTAAATCTAGGTATAGCTGAATACACCCAGAAGTAGCATGTGTCCAGTTGGACTGTAGCTAGCACTACTTAGGCATTGTTCTTAGAGCTTTGCTCATATTGACTTTTAAAATCTTCCCTGTGATATCATGAGGTAAGCACTTTGGTACAGTCATTTTGCTGTTAAGGAAATCAAGGCATTGAGGTTGAGTAACTCCTTTAAGATCACACAGCTAAGAAGCAGCAGGGCAGATATTTGAGACCTGGCTGTAGAGTTATCCAGTATTCAATCTCATTGACTAATCCATTCATGAGCTCATAGCTCAAAGGGCTGATTTGGAGGAGGCACCTCACTGGGGATGCTCTTCTGAAGGAGATAACTTGTCTGTGACAAGTTCTTCTCTGGCTCCTTTCTTGCTTTCTGCTTTCTACCTACCTCAAAGCAAGCAGCTTCCTCTACCATGTCCTTGCACCATGATGGTTCTGCTTTAGAGCCAACCAACCACGGACTGAAACCTTTGAAACCGTGAGCTAAAATAAACCTTTCCTCCTTTAATTTATGTATGTCAGGTATTTTGTTCCAACAGTGGAAAGCTGACCAATACACACACCTTCCTCCTTTAGGTGATTTCAAACTTCCCAGGAGCTCTAAATCCAGAACACCTTTAGATTTGCTTCACTCATTAAAAACAAGTTTACCTGTTTTTTATTTTATACATTTAAATTGTAGTCTTTTGCAGGAATCTAACCCTTATTTAGGAGATAAAAATATTCCTAAGTTAATGTCTTTTTGTTCTCAACCAGTAGTATTTTCACATTGGTTTTAACCCAAGGAAGGTTCTGGAATGCTGGGAGCCCATAGCTGTAGGGAACATTTTAAAGTATAGAACAAGTATTCAGTTTGTAATGTAACGGCTATTTTTGCAGGCTTTCTGAAATCCCATCATTTACTGCTTTCCTTGATTATTTACTTTGTCTCAGGTTGGAATTTTTTTTTTTAGGAGTCTTGTGGTTATATCTGACCTAAAATTGAAACCAGAATTTAAAGAATATGGCCTTGTCACTTAGAATGATTCAGGTAGGAAATCACCCCAGGTTTCAGTAATAAATACGATGTCTGTGTTGAATTATGTGGGACAACCCAAAATTTAAAATTTAGAAAGAAAAAAAAGGAACTTAGAAGGCTGTGAATTGTTCTGTTGTCTTCTACTTTATCCATTAAGAAAGTCTCACCAGGCTGATTGCATTTGTCACCCATTGATCAAACTAATTTCATGACCTTCAGATTCTTATTTAAGAACTGCACAAATATGCTGATTTGTGTAAAAGAGTGCAGAATTTTCCTGGGAAATGAGAGATTTTGAAAACTACTATCATACTGAAGACTCAAGGAGACCTGATTCGCTGATGCTTGCAAAATCGTGATGTCCTTGTTCAGCATGATGAATAACATTTATTCTTGGATAAGGGGAAAAGGATTTATTTTGAGACATTCAGATCTGGTGTACTGCCTCTACCAAATGCAGATCGTTATGGTGCAGTGAAAGAAAGTAAAACTCTGGATGAAACATGCAAAAGTGAGACAGATTTTGAATATGCATAATTACTCTTGAAAACTTAAATGCGCAGCACTGATGTGAAATTGGATAAATGTTATTTCTCCAAATGTATGAGCTTATTGCAAACCAGATGTATAGTTGAAAGGACATTTGGTACAGAATTGGAAGATCTAAGTTCCAGACTTACACTGCCTTTCACCCAAAAGACCAGTTAAATCACTGATTTCTTCATCTATAGAAACAGGAAAATCAATAGCACCTTTTGTGTTTATTCTCTAGCATTATTTTGAGACTGAAATGTGATCTAGTCATTTGGCAATTTCACCAACTATAAACATGTGATTGTCATTTCTTGAAACATGGTGGCAGAAAATGGCTTAATCCCAGTAACTAATAATTCACAAGTCATCTGTTTCTTAGTGTGTTTAAGCGATGTCTTTCTCTTTTATAGCACTGTTTCTTTTCAGGAATCGAGAAAGGCTGAAGATGAGGGTTGGTGGGGAACTTCAAGAAAGTTCCTTTCCTTCTTCGAGGTACACTGTGTGTCATCACCGAACTCCCAGAATTCCAGCTGAAGCAACAGCTAGACTGCATTTTACAGGTAAAGACTTTCTGGAGATACTCAGTAGTTGGAATTTCAAATGCCTAGCCAATCTGTCATTAAAACAAATGCCTGGATGAAATATTTGGCATGGCAGAAGTAGGTCTCCCACTGAGAAACAAATATAAATACCAACTGTCTTCTGATTCACATTGGGAGCTTCCTGAAGCAATTTCTTACATTTATAATGTGATATGATAAATACTGTAGTAAAGATCGCAGTACATTCTTTCCTATCTCTCTCATGGAGAGGTGGGGTCTAATTCTCCTCCCCTTGAATCTGGGCTGTCCTTGGGGACTTACTCAACCAAACGATTGATGTTCTGGGACTCTTCGAGGCCAGGTCATAAGAAGCCCTGGAGAGATGTCACACCACAGGATACACCGTTTAACAGTCCCCAGTGACTGTCCTTGCAATGATCCAGGACATGTGAGCGGAGTTATCTGGGGCACTGCAGACCAGCTGAGTGCTTCTAGGTGACCTGCTCGAACTCCTGACCCACAAAATCTTGAGACTTTATGAAATGGTTATTAAGTCACTTTGTGCATAGCAATAAATAATTGAAATAAATATTAGTGATTTTATGTGGAATAGTACTCAAATATATTTACAATAGTGCATTATGCCATACTCAAGTATAACGTAAGTGGAATCATTTGAATTCACCAGAGTATTTTTTTATTGAAAAGTACATTTTCATCATTGGCTTTAGTAGGAGCTGATAGTATATGGCGAGTACCATGGCAAACACTCCCCTATATACTGCCTCTCATTCTCCTGGGACCTCACCTCCATGTCACAGCCATGTTGCCCATGGGACCTCTTGAACGTCACACTCTGCCACTATGCTCATTTCATTTTGTGGAATGAAAGGACACCCAAAAGGGGTGGCTCTCAGGGACCTTCTCCAGGATCTATCTTCCCCATTTCTTTTGAAATGAGTACATTCCTCCTCTTCTAAACTATGTAATTGAGGGATTATCCTGATTATATTGAGAAGATCCCCACAGGCTTCTTGTGGGCAAGACTGTACGATGACTCCCTTTCACACTTCTTCAGCATTCCATTCAGGGCTCCTCATGCTTCTGTACCACTCACTAATCTCACTGTGTCTCGCTCCAGAGCTCCGCAAGGTCTAGACCCACACTGGCAGCACTCCCTGCCCCACAGTGTACCAGGGGAAATTATTTGGTCCATATTTAGTTTTCCTTTTGCTGAAGTCATCTGCATTATCTGTCCGGCTTTTTCTCTCTCTGTGAATGCCAATTTCCTTACACTTACATTTATCCCACCACCACTACCCCAGTCGTGTATCTGATTTTGACTCTTCTATTTTTTAGAAAAGAAGGCTCCACACATTGTATGATCTGCTTACCTTGTGGATTCTATATCCACTCCTAAGTATGGCTCACAAGAGCGCTGTAGCTTTTGTGGTTTTGCAGAAACTAATAATAGTATTTGAATGATTTGGCTCATTGTAAGTAGCATGAGAACAGGCCTTTGGAAGCCTAGCCCCTGACATGGGCAGATAGTTCTGTTCTTTCTCTGCCTTTAGCTCATATCCTTATCCTTTAATTTATTTTTTCTGTTTCCTTGGAATTTCTTTCTTCTCTATGCCTGGATCTTGGCTTTCTCCTCTGACTGCTTTTACTTGAATCTCCCTTATTAGTTAAACTACACTGGTATAATGTAAAACTCCTTTGGATTCAGTGGAAATTGTCTCTCTTTTGTTAACAGAGTAAGCCAGTTGTTAAATTCTGCTAGCGAGGAGAGGAATTTCAAGTGCTTTCAGCCCACTGAATGGATCCGGAATTATTCATTGGGGGAGTTCTCTTCCAGGGTTAAGAAAGGCAGCAAATAATACTTAAGAACAGTTCCAAGTAGCCTCATTCTCATGGTATTGGGACCCTCAGGAGAACAATGTTGTGCTTTGAGGAGTATTTAGTTCTGTGTGAATCTCGAATGAAAATGCTCACTGCAAGCAGAAGTCCCTGCAGGATTCAGCCCATGGTCAAACTTCTCATGTACCAGAATCGGGGCCAACTTATTTAATAGGGGAAACAACTGCTTGCCTGGTGGTGTAACATTACTCATGATCTGGCTTCTCTGAAAGATGCAGATACAGTTAATCCTAATGGATTTCATGGGTGGAGCTGGAGGAGTTCTTTGAAAACAGGTCAGAAAGCTGCGGCGTGTTTGTGCCTTTGGAGGGAGCACTCTAGGAAGATTCCCTCCAGCAAAGAAAAGACCCAGCTGGTCCACAGCTGGTCCGCTGCTGTGTCTTCTTCCCCTCCCACCCTGGAATTAGGTTCCCTCTGGATATCAGAGGTTCTCTTCCATGTGCTTCTCCCCGTCCACTCTCTCCTTCTCTTTTGGAGCTATCTGAGCCTGGAAGCGTGGGATCAACAGGTTCTATTGCCCAGTCATTTCTGTTGTCTTCCGTTAATGGGGAGCCCTGAGAGGAAGAATGGGAGGGAAGGAGAAAAATAGGGCTGGAGTGTGTATTTTTCAGCTCTCTTCCTCAGGCTGTGTTTCTTTCCTGCAGGGTGAGGGCTCTCCTGGTGATCTCATCTAGTATTTCTTGTCTGGGTTCAGCAGATTCTTTCTCCTCTCAGGTACAAGTTTAGCTCTCATTTCCCACAGTCCCTTGCGGCTTCCGTGCAACCTACCTAACTGTGGTAAACGCAGTCTTAATTGCACTCTCCTCAAGCTCCCAAATTTGAGTGTCCTGTCTTGGCCCATCATTTCCTTCCTGGGGTCTTGGCTACGCAACATTTGTCTCAAATTTTAGGATTCATTGGCCTGTGTGTCTTCAGATCCTCCCAAGGAAGACACATCCTGCTGCCAGGGGTGCCCTGTTTTAAGCCTCCTAGAGCTGCCTCAGTTGGTGTGGTTTTAAAAAACTTTAAATATATATTTGAGCTTTCTTTCTTTCTTTCTTTCTTTCTTTCTTTCTTTCTTTCTTTCTTTCCTCTTTCTTTCTTTCTTTCTTCTTTCTTTCCTCTTTCTTTCTTTCTTT